TCCCAGGAAAGCTGATTTTGGCACGAACCCTCCTGAAGTCTTCGTGCTGGCACATGCCCAGGGTGCTGGGGTGCAGGTGTCTAGTCTGGCACTGGGAGTTAGCCTCCACCAAAAGGAAGGTCTGGTTACCAGCCTTGTTGGCAGAAGGTTTGGGGATGGTCAAGGCATGCAAAGAAGCTAAGCTGGTGAGGCTGCACCTTGAATACTCTGTTCGGTTTTGGGCCCCTCACTACAAGAAAGACGTTGCATTGCTGGAGCATGTCCAGAGGAGAGCCACAAAGCTGGGGAGGGGTCTGGAGCACAAGGCTTACGAGGAGCGGCTGGGGGAGCTGGAGGTGTTTAGCCTGGAGAAGAGGAGGCTGAGGGGAGACCTTATCGCCCTCTACAACTGCCTGACAGGAGGGGGGAGCGAGGTGGGGGTCGGCCTCTTCTCCCTGGTAATGGGCGATAGGATGAGGGGGAATGGTCTGAAGTTGCGCCAGGGCAGGTTTAGGTTGGACATTAGGAAAAATTTCTTCACTGAAAGGGTTGTCAGGCTGTGGAATGGGCTGCCCAGGGAGGTGGTCGAGTCCCCATCCCTGGAGGTATTTAAAAGATGAGTAGATGAGGTGCTTAGGGACAGGGTTTAGTGGTGGGATGGCAGGGTTAGGTTAATGGTTGGACATGATGATCTTAAAGGTCTTTCCCAACCTAGACAATTCTATGATTCTATGGGCAACTAGTCAACCAAAGAGGCTGTTCCAGGTGCCCTGTGCTGTCTAGGCAGGAACCAAGAGCTGAGATGAAAGAAAAAACAAGGGTCTTGGGAGCAAGGATCCTCTCCATCCCCCTGGTACCTCCTGTGGATGGGAGCAAGGAACCACAGGAGGATCTGATTCCTGTGCAGTTGGTCTCAGCCTGGCATTGCTGTGGGCCCTTCTCCCCTAGTCTTGGCACATCACAGCACCCTATTTTCTTTAAGCTTTTTTCCAGGGCTACCCTCTGAGCGTGAGCACCTTCTCTGCAGAAGCAACGCTGATTGTCCTGTACCCCCAGACGGACGACTGGTTCCTCTCCCTGCAGCTCCTCTGCCCGAAGGGCCAGGGGTGAGTCTGGTGTCTCGTCCCACCTTGGGGCTGGTTCAGGGCACTCTGCCTCCGCACTCTGCTTGCCACGGGCTCTCGTCTTGCCTGGTAGCAATCAAACCGTGGCAGCAGAGGGGGAAGGAGGTGGGTGGCAATGCCAACTCGCTCTCTGGTGAGCACCCAAGCAGCTTGTCTGGTGCAGAGCTGGCACATCTCATGCAGATGGCAGAGCCTGCTTGGATGAGCTTGCCCTTCCCCAGGTGGATTTTGAGGTGACAAGTGGGTAAATGAAATTGTGGCTGTTACTCCTTCGAGGGGTCTGTGAGGTGCAGGAGTGTGGGCACAGCTGCCTGTCATTTGCCTTCCTGCTGGTTCCTTGCGTAAGAGGCTGAGCGTGCACTGGGGTCTGCTTGGGGGTCTGGGGTGAGCTGACACCCCCCTGCACATCAGTTTGGCAGCCCAAGTGGAGAGGGAGCCAACACTGCTCCTAGCTCTTGGGAGGGATGGAACAGATCCCAAAATAGCAGGGAGCTCGTGTGCATGAACGTGGCCTGACCCTCTGGAGCAGAGTGCTCCCTGGGCACAAGGCTGCCCCGAAGGACCGGGGTACCGAACGCAACCCGCTCTCCTTGCAGTGAATGTAATGCTGCGGAAGCCAAAGTGACCATCTTCGCATACCTCACCCCCTGCTTCAATGACTGTGGGCCGTACGGGCAGTGCAGCCTCCTGAGAAGACACGGCTACCTCTATGCTGGCTGCAGCTGCAAGGCTGGTGAGTGCATTTTCCTAGGAAGCTTTACCATGAGAACACGTTTTTCGGTGGTGGCCTGGCTCTGCCACGGCTGCTGGGTGTCGCAGTGCCTGCCTAAAGAGCCCTCGGCACCCATGGGGGCCTCTTTGGGAGCATCCTGACCAACCATCCTGAGGGGTGCTGGGTTCTGGGAAGCACAGGGTCCCCTGGGGCTTGGAGAGGTGCTTCTGAGCACCCCCAGAGAGATCAGGGTGCCGACAGGGCTGCCTGGAAACGCCTGCGTCGGAGCCTGTACCTGTCAGGGAGGTTTGTTATGTAGGGTCTTGATACAGGGTGCGATGAGGCCGGGCTGCGGTCCCTGCCCGTGTCTTGCCAGGGTGCTCTGTCTTCTGCCCAGAGACAGTGTCCTTAGACATGGAGGTGCCCCTGGAGGAGGAACATCTGTGTTGCCTGCTAATTATCTTAATGGGCTGAGAAGACTGGGTGGCAGCCAGTGGCATAGGGAAGATGATAGCTCTGCTGTGCTTGGGTGGGTACGTGTACCTGTTCTCAGCAGAAGGACGAAGCAAAATGTGGTTCACTGCTGCTTTGGCCCTGAGCCAGGACGTCCCTGCGGTCTGCTGCAGTGCTGATGATGGGTGAGGAACGAGATGGAGAACAGCATCCTAATTTCCCCGAGGGGTGCCAGGTTCTGGGAAGCATGGAACACCCCAAGGGAACTGGGAAATCAGGCTGAGGACAGCTTTGTGCTGAATCACTCGGAGCAAAATGCCCCATCTGCATATTCGTGACCCAGAAATAAGCTGGAGAGAGCAGCCTCCCTGGGCTCTGCCTGGCAGGGAGCCGGCAGGAGGGGCAGAGCTGCTGGTGTGGTTTCTAGTGGCACTGCAATGGGATGGATGCTACTTTTAACTCTGCCTGTTGACCGTGGAGTGCCTGCACGTAGCCAGGCTGCCCGGTGGCTGACCTCCTTTCCCCAAAAGAAGGGCATGGGTGTCCTAATCCGGAGTTCAAATAATAAAAAAAAAAAAAAAAAAAGAAAGAAAAAGGAGGAGAAAAAAAAAAAAAAGGCAGGTTTGTGTTTGTAGAAGACTGTCTTGGTTCAGTCCTTGGCATCCCATCAGCAGGCTGGGAACGTGGGAATTGACCCCCATGTCAAGCCTAGAGCGTGCACTGTCCTCTAGGAAGTTTTCACTCCCACCGGCCCCGCACAGACCTGGATGTCACCCCGGGCTGAGGCAGTGGCTCTGGTCACCCTGGAGAAGAGGGGTTGGAGGGGGATTGAATCGCAGCTTCTGCTGCCCATGGGGGCTACAGAGCTGGAGCCGGGCTCTTCTGGGGGAGCACCGGGAAAGGGCAAGAGGCCACAGACACAGGCTGCAGCAAGGAAACTTCCAGCTAAACCAGAGGTGACAAGTTTCCCCCCATTAGAGTTCACAGAATCATAGCATCGTTTAGGTGGGAAAAGCCCTTTAAGATCATCAAGCCCAACCGTTCCCCTAACCCTGCCATCCCACCACTAAACCATGTCCCTAAGCACCTCATCTACCCTTCTTCTAAATACCCCCAGGGATGGAGACTTGACCCCTTCCCTAGGCAGCCCCTTCCAATGCTTGGCAACCCTTTCAGTGAAAAAATTCTTCCTCACATCCAACCTAAATAAAATCATAGAATCATTTAGGTTGGAGAAGACCAAAAGTTGTTCAGCTTTGCACAGTATCCAGGTCCCCATCCTTGGAGATCTTTCAAACTCAGCTGGGCAAGGCCCAGAGCTGGCTCTGTAGTCTTCCCTGCTGTGACAGGAGGTAGGACAGGCGACCGATGGCTTCCTCAGTGTTGTGGATCATTCTCCACCCTGGTTCCTGGGATCTGTAGGGATCTTGCACCCAGCTTACACCATCATCTGAAGCATCCAAACTGCAAGCGCTTCATGTATCACCTGCAAGTAGCACATGTGTTGAGTTACTGTAGGGATGAAAAGTACCAGCCTGGACGTGCCCAGGCTGTGCACAGAATGGCCCCTGCTACGTGGGAACAACCTGGGGGGTGTCCTCAGAGCAGAGATGAGGCTCTGCTGGGGTTCCCCAAGACTTTCCACAGCAGGGCGTGCAATGAGTGACGAGACCATCCCGAGAACAGGAGTGCAAGCAGCTGGTGGAGCAAGGGAGAGGAAGCTGGGAGGTAGTCCTGGGGGGCGATCGCTTCTTCCGAGGAGTCCCAGGCTCCTGCTGCGGGAGGACGAGGCAGGGCACGCAAGACCAAAAAAAGCCTCTCTGCTCCGCAGGTTGGGGCGGGTGGAGCTGCACAGATGATACCAAGGCCCAGTCTGTCAGCGCACAGAACCTGGCCACCCTCCTGCTCACCCTGAGCAACCTCATGTTCCTGCCAGCAATAGCGGTTGCTGTTTATCGCTACTACCTGGTGGAGGCCTCCGTCTACACCTACACCATGTTCTTCTCCACGGTAGGGATTGCCTTTTGTCGGGTCCCCTGCCGGTTTCCCCTGAGCATCAGGGATGCTGCATTGGACTGAAGTCCTTGGTGGAGCAGGTCCATCTTGGAGCTCCGCGAAGAGCTTCTAGGATCATTGGACGAGCACCTCCCTGCACATGCCCTGCCCCTTCGGAGCTTGGCAGGAGCATTGTTTTCCCTGGGCTCTTCCACCACACTGCTCGTATTTGGGGGTGGGACCCCAGGGAACTGAGATGGGGTTGGAGCATTGCACACTTGAAAGGTGCTGTCCCAGGAGCTCTCAACTGCTGCTGGGAGGCTGCAGGCTGATGGCTGCTTGCCTCTGCTTTCCGCAATGCCCCGGTGGTTTGGTGGAGCTTGGCAGGAGCATTGTTTTCCCTGGGCTCTTCCACCACACTGCTCGTATTTGGGGGTGGGACCCCAGGGAACTGAGATGGGGTTGGAGCATTGCACACTTGAAAGGTGCTGTCCCAGGAGCTCTCAACTGCTGCTGGGAGGCTGCAGGCTGATGGCTGCTTGCCTCTGCTTTCCGCAATGCCCCGGTGGTTTGGTGGGGCTTCCCAGAGGCACTGCCAGGAGGGATTGTGGCTAACACAGGGCGGAGCCTCCCCCGCCCC